TATCCAATAAAATGTATGTAAAATATTTAGAAATGAATTTTTATAGGTATTTGCCATAAACATTATAGGATTACATCTTACATCAATCTTTCTCTGTACTTTGTTTTGTTCTGACTTAAAGTTGTACTTCTTTGGTTTCACATATCCACCATATTATATATTCACATAAGCTGTGACTATGCAGTCCGCAGGTGTAATGTTTCACTATACGCCTGCCTCGTAACACTTGCTGTTGTCCACCGGATTTCCTTCATTCTTTGATATAGATCCTATTCTGCCTCCTGTTTATCTCGTACAAAAATCCAGTTCTTGTGGTTGTCTTTGTATCTTGAAATATCGTAATCAGTTATCCGGGATTGTGTTAGTTTGGTATGACGTCAGTTTATACCAGACTCGAGAACATAACATTACAATAATCTCTTTATATGATCCGGGACTGGAGGTCTGCTGGGAGTCTTGTAAGTAAAATCTGAGTTTTATATTTTTGCAGCTACGTCTGAAAGCCCTCGTAGATACTCAAATGTAAAGGATGCATTGATGCTTCGAGTATTATAAATACCTTAAAATATGTACATTTTACCGTTAATGTTAATCCAAACAATGTACATATACACTAGCTGTAATCAGGATGTATCTCCTCTGCAGGTGATCGAGTCTCTTTCGCCAGTTTGTTTTGAAAATCTCGCGCGAAGCTATACAAAGGGCAACTAACGCATAACTTTCCCTAATTTTGAACTGAGATATTAGGGATAAAGCAGCTCGTTAACGGTCACCAGACACTGTCTATTCTTGGGCTATTTGAATAGTGGTTTTAAAACGTTCCTACGGCCAAAGAGCGTGTTTTTGTGAAAACGGGCAACAAACCATGAACTCTCTGATTCACAGCCTCTTCTCGGTATAGAAAGATTGTTAACTGCGATCCTTAGTTAAAAAATTAAACTAGGATAAAATGTTAACAGTTACAGCTTCATAATTATGAGGACCATACGTTTTGCCTTCCCTATATATACACAGCGTGGTCACAAGTAAATAGACACCACCTTTTCAGAAAAAAATGAAAATTTTCAGTCATATTC